TATATTATATCTAAAATATATTTAAGTTATATATAAGATATATAGATATAAGATATATCTAAGATATATATATGGGATATAGATATAAGACATATAGATACAAGATATATCTAAGATATATATGTAAGTTTTATCTGTGATATATTTGTTATATATAAGACACATATAAGATATATCTAAAATATATATAAAATGTATAGATATAAGATATATCTAAGATATATATGAAAGATATAAGCTATCTTTTAAATGTATTAGATACAAGATATATATATCTTTATATATAAATGTTTATGTATCTTATAAATGTTTAATACATTTTATATAGTGTATATATTATATACACTGTATAATACAATAGTATTATATACAATATATATGCAATTATGTACTACATATACTATATAATGCGATTATATATATATATACGATATGATACAATAGATACACTAATACCATAGTATATAATACAACAGATAATATAGAGTTTTATATTATATATAGTATAATGTATATTGTATTATAATATGTATTGTAGATTATATGGTACTATGTGTTACATAGAAAATACACATTATAATTATATGTATATACTATATGTATGAGGCATAGTACAATATAATTTCATATATATAATATATACATATATAATTATAATATATACACTGTATGTATGTACTATACATATGAGACATAGCACAATATAATGTCATATACAATATATCCATAAAAATATATTATTATGTATACTATATGTAACATTTTTAAGTATATGTGAGACATAGTACAATATAATCTCACATATATAGTATATCTATAAAAATAATTATAATATGTATACTACATGTAATACATAATACAATATAATCTACAATATATATTATGTATAATATACTATATATTGTATATTATATATTACATGTTATGTCTAACATATAATGCATTGGGTATTAAATATATTTATACACAATATATGAAATGCTGAGTAACATAATGAATAACATGTATAATATGTATAATATATAATGTAAATATATATATTTATAATATGTAATATAAATGTATATTATATATTGTGTTAGATATAGTATATAGTTTATGTTATTCATATTATACATTATACACAATATGTTATGTATATTGTGTGTAATATATCAATATATAAAATAATGTATGTATAGTATTACTATGATACTATAATTACTAATTATTTTAGTATTTAATATTTAGAAGCATTTTCATTCCTTGTGGATTCCATTCCACCTGGGATGTCTGGAACCAAGCTGAATTTCATGGGATCAGATAGTTTAGAGCAGTTTGGCCCAAAATGTGGCTGATTTCCCTATGTTACCCCAGTTCTGCAGACCTGGAATGGGTTCCCCAAAGAGGGCAGCTCCATGCTGTGCATGCCAGTTTTCCCCCAGTTTGGAGGATGTGTTTTCCATACGAGGGGCTGTGGGAGGGCCCCTGGCGTTGGCATCAGCAGGGTCTCCTTGCAGGCACCTTTGGTGAGTGCAGCTCCGAGGCCGAGGTCCAGGCCTGGATGAGGTACAACATCTTCCTCCTGCTGGAAGTGGGAACCTTCAACGCCTTGGTGGAGCTGCTCAACATGGAGATTGAGTGAGTACTGTGAGAAAAATCTTCAGTAGTGGCTCTGGAATTCACCAGAGTGACTCCCTCTGTCCTGGGTGGGTGTGTAATGTGGGATTATACCTGATTTCTCCTGAAATTCCCCATTAATCAAAGTGCCTGGCAGCAGACAGGCAGCTCTGCTCCTCCTCATGTGGCTGTGCTGGGAGCAGGGAGTTCATGGCAGCAGTGTCTGTCTCAGGGTTTGGAGCTGGCACGTGGAGTGCCCATGGCAGAGTCTGAATTCCCCCAAATTCTCTCTGAGCTGTTCTCCCTCCACAGCAACAGCGCAGCCTGCTCCAGTGCCGTGAGGAAACCTGCCATTTCCCTGGCTGACAGCACCGACCTCAGGTATGCAGTGGGACTGGGGACACCAGGAGGGGCTCCAGGGTTTGCTGGGGGCTTTGGGAGGCTGAGGCAGGCACTGGAAGGGGTCCCAGAGCTGTCCCAGCTCTGAGAGTTTCCACAGGTGTCTGTTGTGCTCAGCCTGCACAGCAGGAATGAGACAGATTAGGGATATGGAAGCAGTAAAATTTGGGAAAGCAGATTTTTTTCTGTTTGGACTTGTAGAGACTTTTCCCCCCAGTGCCTGTGTGCTGGTTTGGAGCAGATGAATTGTGGATGTGGTCTGGGTTGCTCCAGCTTCTCCCTGGGTGCTGGCAGTGGTTCCATGACTTATCCCTGGCAGGGATTCAGCTGCCGTGGTTTTTGCAGGGTGCTGCTGAACATCATGTACCTGATTGTGGAGACCGTGCGCCAGGAGGCCGAGGGGGACAAGCCTGAGTGGAAGAGCATGAGGCAAACCTTCCGAGCAGAGCTGGGTGAGGACCAGGAGGTGGGATAGAGCTGCCAGGGCTGGAGACAGTGACATGGCTTTTGGCTCCAGGAGTTGAGTAATAGTGACTGGCAGCACTGGGTTGGTTTCTGCTCAGCTTGTGGGGCAGAGGGAGGTGGGCAGAGGAAGCCATCCAGCCTTTGCTGCTGCTGGGTGCTCTCTTCCTGGGAAAAAAAATGGAATATTTGAGCTGTTGTTTCCTCTTAAACATAGAGGTAAGAAATTATGGTGTTTATGAGGCCTTGGAAGGAGAGAAGGAGCTGTCTGGGGTGAGGTGAGGATCTTGGAGCTAATGGGGAGGAGGGTACAGGTGCTGGTGATACTGGTGATCAGGGTGAGGCCAGGGATGAGGAATTCCTGGCTGATGGTGCTGTGTGGTTCCAGGAGCCCCCCTGTACAACAACGAGCCCTTCTCTGTCATGCTCTTTGGGATGGTGACCAAATTCTGCAGTGGCCACGCTCCACACTTCCCCATGAAGAAGGTGCTGCTTCTGCTCTGGAAGACTGTGCTGGTAAGGAGAGGCCATTGATGTGGGATGTGTGGTTTGATACTTGGCAGAGAAGGAAATTCTGCTCTCAGAGTTGGCTGTAATTGCTCCATCCTCTTTCTCTGGTGTTCAGTTTTCCTTTAAACCCAATCCCAGGTTTTCCTTCACAGTGAAGCAGTGGATATTGATGTCTGGAGCTGGATACTAAGGATAGATCCAAAGCAAGGTCCCTGGCTGGGGAAGGGAAAGCTCTGAACAGTTGTGGGTGCCTGGACATCCTCCTGTCCCTCCTGCCTCTCTCAATAACAAGAGGAGCACAGGACAGGCAGCTCCTGTTTGAAACTGGGAAAGGATTTGAGCTCCTCAGGACAAGAGAGATTTTGAGGGGCTGGAGTGTGTCCAGGGAGGGGAACATCACTGGGGAAGGGTCTGGAGTGGCTGAGGGAGCTGGGGGAGCTCAGCTTAGAGAAAAG